AAAAAAAAAAAAAGAAAATTTTACTACTTGGGTAGCAGAAGTTAAAGTAGAAGAACTGCTGCAACTTTACCTGAGAAGTACTAAAGACAGGTCATTTGTTTACGTGAGATGGTTAGATGTTTGAGGAGAGAACTGACCAGAGAAAGATAGGATTGCCAGGCATCACTGAAGGGAAAGTTTAGAGGTACACTAACCTGCCACCATAAACTTCCAAGTTTCGTAGTTATTCTGCTGCAGCTCTCTACAGCCTGACTGTAAGATTAGAGTTTTGTTAGGTGGGCAAGAGAAGGAACATCAGCCAAAGGAATTGAGGGTCTTGTCAAGATAGTGGTTGAATGCTGGGCTGTGGAATGTGAGCTGCATAGGGAGGGAAGTGAAGCTAGGTGGGAGCCCATGGCTGCTAGAAAATGAAACAGTAGAGGAGCAGTGGTCCTGATGAGGTTGAAGAACCAACTACCTGGGAGTCATTGAATTGAAGTCTTGGTTGAAGGTTATAGTCAGAGGCTGCATGTTTGAAATTTCGAGGTTGAGCTGTGATGATATGCAATGGGTGACTGAGGTGGAGTGGAAGACATATCAAAGATAAGGGGTTCCGGGAAGTAAGAAGGCAAGGTATTGGGTGGGTTATTCACATGGACATGCCAGTAACCAGGGTTGATGACAGGATGTGTGTCATCACACATCCAAGGAAGCATGTGAACTCAGTGTCAAAGCTTTAAATGAATGAGGGTGAGTGATGGGTAGGTTGTTAGATGATGATTATGAAAAATAGAGGGTGTCAAATGATTTGAGCTCCAAACAAGCTGAGTTTTATGCCTGATTGTAGAGGTGGAGAAATAATGGCCTGGACTGTGAGTAGTATTCTCTCAGCAGGCCTTATTCAATGCCCCATTGCTCTCAGCTGTCACAACCCCTTTTCTAGTATCTTCTCTCCTGAGGCAATGGGGGCAGTTAGGTCAAGGAAAAACTGTTTCATGCTTCACACATAGGTACCTTCTACCTATTCATAAAGCTAGGCTGAGTTTTCAGTTGATGCTGCAAATTGTTACAGTTAGCTGATATGGCTGGTGGCGTTACTGAATGTCCGGCCAAGCCTATGAGTGTAGGGCCAGGCATTTTCTGGCCCTGGCTCTTTTCTACAAAATTTTAGCTTGAGCTGGAAGTGCATTTTGAACCAAGGTTAAGTTTCACAGGCTGGTTTTAATTCTTAGAGCAGTGCCAAGTCTAACGATATAGAGCAGTTATCAGAACATGGTTTAAGGTTTTCAAAGGCATAGAGTAGACGAAGTCCGTGTTCTCTGTTCAGCAAGTCATCTTAAACTCGTCCCTCCTATTGGCAATTGATTGGAGTATACCATATTCCCCATGTATAAGACGTTCCCATGTATAAGACGCACCTTAATTTTGGGGCCCGAAATTTGAAAAAAAATGTATTACATAACGTTATTGAACTCAAGTTTTATTCATCATAAAATTCATAAAACTCTTCATCACTGTTAAGACTCCCAACCATAGCCAGTCTCGGATTGTTTTCTCAGTTGGAGGAGGACCAAACTTAGGTTCAGCAGCACGATTTCCATTCACTTTTGCAGACTGGATCACTTTTAACTTGAATTCAGCACTGTACGAAAATCTTTTCTGAGCCATTTCTGGGCAGAACATGGCAAAATGTAACCTACCGTAATATACCGGTAACAAGTGTGAAAAAAATGAGCACAAAGACAACAAGCGTGAAAAAGCGGGAAATGCAAGCAAAAAAATCTACAACCGCTGTATAAGATGCACTCAGTTTTTAGACCCCAAGTTTTTTGAAAAAGTGTTCATCTTATACATGGGGAAATACGGTAAGGGAAAGGAACCGGGGAAAAGTTTACTGATTGACCAAGTTCAAGATAGCTGTTTCTGTGATTTATCCATTTGTTTTATTTTTAAGGTAAATTATTACTCTCAGTTATGTTATAGATTACAGTTTTTAATATTTTTATTGGTAAGAAAAGGGGAAAATTCAGATTGTCCTTTTTTTTAACAGGTTATCTGTCTATAAGATCAATAATAGAAAAAGTATTGAAATTTTTGTGTTATTTCCATGTTTGCCATCAAATTGTATGATCCTTGACAAGGGACTTAGCCTATCGGTGTTCTCACCTGTAAAGCACAGTGTCTGTCTGATGTGTTGCCACCTCACATGTCCACAGGACAGGCATCCCCGAGTGGATCTCTGTGTGTGCTCTGTTTTACGTCTCTCAGTGTTTCTGTTTTTCTTGTTTATCAGTGTGTACTCAGTCCCTTTATTATTTGGATAACTACTCTTTCATATATCTAAAAGCATGCTTACATTTTAAGAAGAAAGCAGAATACTAGAAAAGGGCAAAATACAAAAATTGCATATGTTTATCTTGATATAGAATACTATGCATGAACTGGGTTTTCAAGGTCATTTCATCAGCTCACAGGTGACCACATAGGTGACCTCATTTGCTAAATCTATAGCCCACAAAACATATTTTAGCAATATATTTTTTAATAAAAAGTTTTTTTGATTATATAATTAATACATCCAAATTATTGTATTAAACAGTACATTATAATATAAAGAAAGTAAAGGTCATCAGAAACCTACTGTCTTGAAATAGCCACCCTTAGCATTTTATTGATCATCCTTCATGTATGTATATATTATTTTACAGAAATTGAATCATAGCATACTTGGGGGTTTTTTTTTCTGTTGTGGACACTTTTAACCCTTCCTCCACATTAGCCCCTCCCCCATCCCAGGCTCCAGGTAACCCATATATATAACATAGTTTGTATCTTTCCATTTTCGGGGAGTACTCAGATAATCCAATATAACCAATATATACACACATACAAATAGAGGGTTTTTCTGTCCTTGTCTGATGTACAAAAATATAATCATTATATACATACTTTTCTAGTAGTGTGTTAAATAAAAATTCTGCGTCATGATTTAAGAATGTGTGTGTATCATCTTGTAGACCACATTAGAGCATGCAAGGCCTGAAGAGCCCAGCTGGGATGAAGATTTTGCAGATGTGTACCATGACCTAATCCATTCTCCTGCCTCTGAAACGCTCCTAAATTTGGAACATAATTACTTTGTTAGTATCTCAGAACTGATTGGGGAAAGAGATGTGGAGCTCAAAAAATTACAAGAGAGGTATTTCAAATTTCTTGCATTATCATAATTAAATGTTATATCATCAAATATGATGGCCTGCAGAATAACTTGTTCTTATTGTTGTAAAATTGAATAAAATAGAAAAAATTCTTTAATATTAGAAATTAATTTTCTTGTGTGTTTAAATCTGTAATTTCAACTGGGAAGTCCTCATGGGTTTATAAAACTTCTAAAAGTGATTTACCTTAATAAATTATGGTGGCTTTATCTACTCTTATTTCTAAAAGAGGAATAACTTCTACCTCTGCTGAAGGTTTACATTGTTCCAGGCACTGTGCAAAGTGCTTTGGATGCTGTCTTAGTCAGCTCGGGCTGCTAGGACAAAACCATAGACCAGATAGGTTAAACCACAGAAGTTTATTTCTCACAGTTCTGGAGGCTGGTGAGTCCAAGATCAAGGTGCCAATAGGTTTAGTATCAGGGAGGACCGTTTCCTGGCTTATGGACAGTCCCTTCTTAAAGTGCGTTCACGTGGCCTTTCCTCAGCTCGTGCTTCCAGTGCGTCCCTTTTAGGGGGAGAACACTAGCTAGCATTTCTTCTTCCAGGCACTAATTCCATCATGAGGGCTCCAACCTCATGGCCTCTTCTAAACATAATCGCCTCCCAAAGGCTTTACCTCCAAATACCATCACACGGAGAGTTAGGTTTCAACATATGAATATGGAGGGGATACAAACATGCAGTTCAAACAGATGCCCTCTCTCATTTGATCCTTACCACAACCCTACTATCATTTCATTATCTGCGTTGTACAGATGAAGAAGCTGAGGGTTAAGTTAACTAACTTGTCTAAGAACATGCTGAATCTGAAACCAGAAAGGGATTCCAAAGCTCTTAACCGCTATATCATACTGCCTCCCTATTCAGAACCTATTTACAACTCTCAGTGCAATTTGTAAGCATATTTTCATTAGGGAAAAAAAACCACACTAGAATTATTCCAAGAAATATTAATTAGATTTGAATTCATTTGTATGGATTACTTAATACAATATACAAACGATGCTTTTATGATCCACTTTTTTCTTCAGAGTAAGTTGCTAGCATTATTTATTTTAAAGCATAACTTTCCAGAAAGCTTCCTAGTAATTTCCTAATTATAGTACTAATTCAGGACACACTCCTTTTTCTAGATAATCCATTTTAATTTATTGGGTTGTTGGAAAAATCATGATGCATTTTTGCAACGAAAAACAAAAAATGCGTCATGTCTTTTCCTACAACCCAATAGTTGAATTTAATAACATTTATTACCTTAAAACCATTTACTTAAGACTTAGGTATACATGGCATTAAGACAGATTTTTTAGTGTTGCTGATGTAAAATTTCTTTGTGAAAGTACATTAGGAGCAAATCACATTTATTCTTTGGGACTGATTATTAAATCAGTCCGAAAGAAGTAAATTTAAAACGATGTGCTGATTTGGTCCTGGCCCTCATTAGCTTTGCATTAGAAAACATTGCATGAGCAAGATGAAAATAGCGTGTTGTTTTGAGGGTTGTCATAATTAAAAACACTTAAAACACAAAAGTCATAAGCAAATAGATTTAATAATTTCTCCTGAGGGCTGCTATCTTGTGAACCAGATCAGCATTTTTATTATATTGCATAGATTTGTACATTTTCATAATAATTCTATTCCTCTGGACCTTTTATTCTCATATTTAATAAACTATTAGAACGGTCGCTGTGTCAAAAAGAACATGATGTCTTGAGACGTTTGTCACTCTTCATGGGCTTGGGTTTGCTGATTACCTGTATTGAGGCAGTTTATTCCTTTCTAGGTGGGATACACACAGTATGGGTAGTTGCTACCAGGTAAATAGTTGAAGCTGTGCCCCTGAGGGAGACAAAAATTCAATTTTTTTCTAGTTTTTTATTATGTAGCCAATAAAATTATGAATATATTTTTAAAATAAGAACAAAATAAAGATTAGATTTTTAAAAAATACATAAAGATATAATTACCTAATATAAATTAATTACCTTCTGTTGAACTTCGTTTTCCAACTGGGGCTTTAATTATATAACCTTAAATTCATTCTGAATCTGTTCTTGGATCTCATGTTTTCTTGATCTGCACTCATTCTGCCTATTTAGGTCGATGAAAAACTTCCCCATTTGGCCATCTGTAGTTCATATCAGTACTGTTACTAGTCCTTTCAGCTGCTGAGCTACTCTGAATAGTGGTCCACTTTGCTGCCTACTCACTACACCACCCACAAAATTTCATATCACTATTCTATAATTGTTCTTTTTTCTCTGATTGAAAAAAGCAGATTCCTCTTCCACATGACTCTTCACCTTTTGGGAAACTGAATTAACTAATTTTGGTATTTACTGGTAATTTATACTTTTTTTTTCTTACATGGAATAGTTTTAGTAGGGTTTTGGTTTTTTTTTTTTGGTTTATGGTATTTTTTGAAGTGTCCTTTGGCCAAACTTCTTGATGGGCTTTGCTTTTTTTTCTTTCTAAACATATAAACAATATTTGAAAAACATTTATTTAAAAAATCAGTTTTTTAGTTTATCTTTCACATATCCAAGCTGTTAGCTTGAAAGGGAAAAATAAGCTATGTTTATCTTAAGGTAGGTAATATTTATTACAGAGGTGATCAGTGTAACTTAAAGTAAGTTGGAATTCACTGGTGTCTGGAATTTCACCAAAATTTTGGTGCTTAATTCATTTATCCAGTTCATGAGCAGAAGTGACACAATTCCTTATTTCTCCTTTCATTTTAATTTCATTTTACATCTTTAAAAGACAGTTTCTCAGCACAGCATCAATAAAGTTATAATGATCCTTTTTCCAAAGTGTCTTCAAGACAATGTACAGGTTGTCAGAATCGTCATGCCTGACATATGGAGCCAATGCATAGTTAGTAGTTCATCTGAAATATAATAAAATTTCCTTTGATCTTAATCATAGAAAATGTATGCTGTATTATTCACTATCATTAGCTGCTTTCACTTATGACACATTTAGGGTAAAATACATGTTTATGGTATTTTATTTGTAGAATTCTTATTTATTAGTCTTTTTTTTTTCCTCACTGGAAATTTACTCCTTTTAGGAAACCAGATTCAAGTTAGTTTTTTAAAACTTAAAACTGGCAATGATACCTTTTATCCACTAGAGGGAACATGTGTAATGTAAAATATTAATATATTCATGTCAAAGTTTGTATGTATAAATATTTAGCAGTTATTCTGTTTTAAATAAAAATCTTACTTGCAAGCATAATCTTCACCTGACCTCTAATAGTTATTAAAACGTTAATGGAGCCACCTACATTAGAATTAAGTAGGGGCTAAATGGTATTGACTATTTAATCCTAGAAGATGTTTATCGAAATGTGTAAATGTATAACATATGAGTGAGTTTAATTTCTCACATACATCTAAATATATTAATCAATTGTTATAAAGAAGTATAAATTTGCTTCTAAGAGCAATTTACTTAAATTAACTAGAATGATAGTGAAATTTTTTTAGTCGAGTCTATTTCATTTTTTCCAAGTTTGTTAAAAATGTTTTAGAACAAACATCTTTAACACATTTGTTTTAGAAAATAATTTTTAATTTGAATATTTGTAATGAACCTAATTAAAATATAACATACATTCAAAATAGGCAACAAACTGTAGGTGTACACTTCAATAACTTTTCACAAGGTAAGCACACCCATGTAATTATCGCCCAGATAAAGAAATAGGATATGTCCAGCACTGCCGAAGGCTCCCTCAGGCCCCCTAGTCACTACCCATTTCCCCCATAAATAACCATGATAGGAACTTCTAATACATTGATGAGTTTTCCTGTAAGGAAAACTTTTTAATTTTGTGTACATTATTTATTTGGATAAATGTGGAAGGTAAGACAAAAGCATATATTCAGAAGTAGTATATGCCTCTGTAAAGGGAACTTTGTGACTTAATATCACTTTGATTCTCAGAACCTAACTGACAGCTTCTGGTTATAATATAAACTTTCAAAAGGTTGAAGTCACTTTAATTCATGTACAGGTAAATGGAAAATATATTCAAGCTGGAATTGCAGAGTATCTTCTTTAAGGAATTCTGCAGATTGAAAAGGGGTCTGGACTTGTAAACATTTGCCACGGAAATTGAAAGATCACCCAGATTTTGACTGCTTTCATTCACACATTAAACTTAGATTAAAGGGGCCGGCCGAGTGGCTCAGTTGGTTAAGAGCTCGCTCAAGAGTTTGAGCTCTGAGCAACAGCATTTCAATTCCCGGCCCAAGCTGAGCAGCTGCTGAGCTGCCAACAGGTGGCAGGATGGCTCAGCTTAAAAAAAACTTAGATTAAAATTTAGCTGTATAAATGATGTTGATATTAAATGAAATTATTATTATTTCCACATCTACATTTTCAAGGCTTCAAAGTGCTTTCAGGTATTATAATTGCCATTCTTATACATATTCCTATAATTTAAATTTTTACTTTGACTTTGTAGAGATTGTTCAATGAATCTGGAGTGGTCGTATATCTTAAAATTTTGATAAATATGTCTGATCTGTGTTTTAGACAAGGTATTGAAATGGAAAAAGTGATGCAGGAATTGGGAAAGTCACGGACAGATCAAGATGTAAATTCACTGGCTGCTCAGCATTTTGAATCCCAGCAGGTAATGACGTTTAGAAATGCAGTTACTTTTTTTATTTTTTTTTACTTATTTATTTTTGTAAAAAAAAATTAACCAGTTGGTATATTGTCTCGTCTTAGGACTTAGAAAATAAATGGTCAAATGAATTAAAACAATCAACTGCCATTCAAAAGCAAGAGTATCAGGAATGGGTGATAAAACTTCATCAAGACCTGAAAAATCCCAACAACAGCACCCTCAGGTATTAATCATATATTATTCTTACTTGATGAAAATTCAGTGTTATTAATAATTTGTGCTTATTGTAAAATTGAAACTTTTTGTAGATATTTTTAAGTTACCAATGAAAATTCAAGATAATTTTATACTTCTTTTAAAATCTTTTTTTATGGATTTTTATGTGGATTACTTGGGAGGGGGTTAATTGGTTGGTTTTAAATAGTGATTTCTCTCCTAGAATGTAGCTTTATAAATCTCTTAGGTATGTATACCTAAATACCCCATGTACTATCTCTTGTTTCTTTAAATTGGTTTCCGCCAGTGCAATAAGCATTGGTCGAATGCATCTTAAATGCTAAGTACTCTCTAAGCAGAAAAATATAAAGGACACCTGCCCATGTGGAGCTTATATTCTAGAGACTGACCTGTGAATAAAACAATACTGTATAGAGTGATATGTGCAGTAATAGAAGCATGTACAAGGTACAAAAATGATATAGAGGACTTTCCATTATCCATGACTTGTATGGTACCTTAGGCCTACATACGTTGTGTTTTGTATATAACCCTAGAGCTTGACAGGGTCTATGTTACTTCCGGCTGTATATTACTACGTTGGAGAATTTCTTTCTTCTTTCAAATCCTAAAGTATATTCAATTGGAAATATACTTAGTACAGTATAATCTATTTTCACCATTTTCTGATATATGCTATAAACGTTTAGAAATAGCGTCTTAGTTATATCATTCAGTCTCCCCCACTAGTCTTGCCTTGAAAACAAAAACCATGTTTGTTTTTTCTACTGTTGTATACCCAGATCCTTGCCAAGTCTCTGGCTCTTGACACTAGCACATAAGACATACTCGATAAAAATGGGCTGGGTGGACAAACGGGCAAATAAATGGATGGATTATCGTCAAACTGTTTACCTGATATCTATCACCTCTTATCTAAGTATTATAATCTTCCACTTGCCTTATTGTTTTCCCCAGGTCAACACCTTAGAAATATTTAAACAATATTTTTTTATTTTGAAATGGGATAATATTCTTGATGATAGCATGTTTGACTGTACTCTTTATTTCACATGAAAATAGTGATGAATACAATACAGAGGCAGAGCTGTAGGGAAAGATGTGTTGGGAACATCCATATCCTAGAGTGTATAGTGGTGTTTCTCAGACTGCTGGCTGCAGTCTGCTGGGGATCATTCTAGATCTTTTACTTTCCAGTCCGACTTTTGAAATAATGAAAAAATGGAATGGAACAGAGTAGAGCAGAATATGGAAAAAAATATCAGAGTGCACCATGCGTGTAGCTTTCTATAAATGAATGTGTGTAGTGAGTCAAAATGTAAAATATATGCCGTATTTCATCGTCAAAAATGTGGAAAGTAATTAATTTAGGGAAGTTGAGAAAACCCTTTGCTATAAAAACTATGTCTCACTTTGCTGCTAGTTTCAGAAATTCAATCTATAGGATCAATTCCACTGTGTAAATATTGACCTCTAGCTGCTACTTCTTTTAAAAACCAAATGTTCACTGGAAAGAATATTTTTACAATGACTTTGTTTGATTTACTTTCCTTTTTTTGATAGGGGTTTCCTTGGGCAACAGAAATCTGTTTTCAAGACAACTGCATGCAGAACTCCTATATGAGATTGATAAAAATTATAATTTATTTTTATTCATTTACTTTTGCTTTTTTTTTTAAGTCAGAGCCATTGGAGGATAAATTACATAAAGTAAAATTCATGTTTTAGTTTTACATTTTGATGACTTTGACAATGTTAATTAGTCATGAAACCATCACAGCAATCAAGATACAGCATTTCCCTTTTACACCTTTTTTTCCTTTTATACCTTTATAGTTAATCTCCTTTCCCTTTGCCCAGCTCTTGGCAATCTAATTTGGTTTCTGTCCCTGTAGTTTTGATTTTTCCAGAATGTCATATAAATGGAATCAAACTGTATGTAGCAGTTTGTGTCTTGTTTCTTTCACTTGGCATAATGCTTTTGAGACTTATTCATGTTGTTCCATTTATGAGTGGTTCTTTCCTTTTTATTGATCATTTGTATTCTATTATTGTTTATCCATTCACTTGATGATGGACATTTGAGGTATTTCCAGATTTTGGCAATTATAAATAAAGCTGCTATAAACAGGTCTTTGTATATACATATGTTTTTGTTTCTCTTATATGAATACCTAGAAGTGGGATTGCTGAATCACCATATAAGTGTATGTTTAACTTTATAAGAAACTGCCAGATTGTTCTCCTAAGTGGCTGTACATTTTTCCATTCCCACCACCAAGGTATAAGGGTGTTAGATGCTCCATGTCCTTGTCAGCAGCATTTGGTCTTGATATTTGGCCATTCTGGCAGGTTTTGTAGTGGTGTTTCATTGTGGTTCTACTTTGCGTTTCCCAGATGGCTAGTCACATGGTACATTTTTTTCATATGTTGATCTTCCATCCATATTTCTCCTTTGTGTTTTTTTTTAATTGAGTTGTGAGAGTTCTTCATATATTCTGGATACAAGTCCATCATCAGATAAGTGTTTTACAAATACTTTCTTTCACCCTGTAGCTTGTCTTTTTATTTTCTTATTAGTGTCTTTTGAGGAGCAAAGTTTTTCATTTCCATTAAGTGCAATTTATGAATTATTAAATGGTTTGTGTCTTATCTAAGATATCTTTGCCTAGCCCAAGATTACGAAGATTTTCTCCTGTTTCTTTCTAGAAGTTTTATAGTTAAAACCTACGCATATAAGTCATAATGGATTATATATATCACATGTATAATATATAAATGTAAATTATTCACTATAAAATAAAAAGTAAATATACCATATAGTATATATGTTGGTCTACAGTTTATTTTTCTTATAATATCTTCATTGGTTTTGGTGTCAGGGTAATGGTGGCATCATGTGAGTGGTTGGTCTACTGATGGCCCTGTCAAAGGTATTGATACATGTTACCATGATTTGATATCATGTTTTATTTCTAGTACTTCCATTTGTTTTCTCTTTGCTGAAATTCCTTCTCTGTCCTTGTGTTATTTTACACTAGGTCTTTTAGTATATTCATCATAGTCATTTGAAAGTCCCTTTCTTGTAGTCCTGATATCTTGGTCTAAGTCTATCCCTGTTGATTGCTTTATCTATCTGTTTACAATGGGGTTGTTTGTTTGCCTGCCTTTTTTGGTGTCTCTTTTTTTAACTGAATGCTGGATATTGTATGTATTAGAAAAGAAGAGACTGAGGTGAATAATATTTATGTCCAGAAATGAACAGGCCATTCATGTGATGGTCATGCAAATGCAGTCAGCAGTTGAGCTGAGTTGAGATTTTGTCCCTCAGTGCCCCACAAACTTCATTTTCTACAGTAGGAAGCTACTGCCATGTGTTTAGACTGGGGCTTTGGGTTCTGGGAAGGGCTTCTCTGTCATTCTGCCCCATCCTCAGCCTTTGGCAGTCTTTGCAGGTCTGGCCACAGCATGAGGTCTCTGTCAATGCTGTTGCTCCACCCCTAACAATAGGCTCTCGTTTGTCATTGGGCACTAGGCTTATCATTGAGGGTGGGAGACAGGTCTCCATTGTGTTTGTCCAGCTTCAGTCTGGGGCAAACTCTGTGTATCTGGGTCTTGGGCTTGGGGCATTTTCAGCATTTCTAGCTGTGCCATCGAGGGGGCATTCTTGTCTTCTGCCCTGCCCCCAGTGTGTTCTTGGAAGCAGCCTGTGGAAGCCCATAGAAAAGGGTTTGCAAATGCGTGCAAACTCCCCTTGTGCTTGGGGCTTGCAGCTCTTCTAAATTTCCACACGAGCCGAGACTTGACCTATAAGAATTGGTTGAAAATTTAGCTGATTTCTTGTTACCCCCTTATATTACAGCAATGCATTTCTGCGGTGCTCTGCAAAAATGAAAACTGTATCCTTTCTCTCCTTGGAGGGGTGTGTCATACTTTGGAATTTAGTTAACATGGTTGCCTTGTTACCTCAAATCTCTGATGGGCTCAAGAAAAGTTATGATTTTATAGATGATCTGGCTTTTTCTTGTTAGAGTAGGAACAACATTCTCTTGTGGTTTTCTACATCCTAAGATGAGGGTATTTTATTAATATAAATTTATTTTTAGGTTTAAATTTGCCATATTTACTTCATTTACTTCATTTACTAATGAAGTCAGTGAGACTAATGAAACAGCTTTGATTAACCCCCAAAATATAGTCAGGGGAATGGGTGATTATTATAGGCTTGTATCATCTTCAGCAAACCATGAAATCTGAATTGAACAGCTGTACAATTATAATGCCCCCATGGAAAACTTTTCAGCAAATGCAAGAACTGAGTAGAGCAGAGAGAAGTTGTTGTTGTTTTTTAATGAGAGCAGAATGTTGTGGAGGAGGGGGACAGAAAATGTTAAAAAAAAAAAAGGATGTGAATACATCAAAATGAACTTCATCTTTTTGAATTATTCCTTATTTTACTTTTTACTTTTTAATTTTCATTTCAGTCATTTTGCCTATTTTCTAGTTTTGCCTGTAGCCAATCCTGATAAAGGATATATTTATGTATATTTTTAAATATATCATTTTAAAGTAATAAGTTAGTAGCTTCATTTAACCATTCTCTTAGGCCACTGAGAAATACTAAATGGTAATATATGGATTGATATTGCAGTGATTGAAAATGAAAACTATGTATTATCCACTGTGAGGAGAAAAAGAACAAGTAGGATTTTAGAACCTCTTGGTACTTAGGATCTTCCTTGTCACCATGGATTTAAGAGACATTTAAGAATAAATTAAGTGCTACTTTCAGCTGTTATTTTGTGTCATTTCATTATAAAGCTTTCTTTCCTTTAAAAAAAGTTCTTGACAAACATGCAAAAAAAGTCAGTAATTTTATTAATTTCAGTGAAGAAATTAAAGTTCAACCAAGTCAGTTCAGAGAATCTGTAGAAGCAAATGGAAGGATTTATGAGGAACAGAGGAAGTTAGAAGAAAGTTTTACCATTCACTTAGGTAAGTGTATTAATTTTTTGCAGTGATAATTTATTGTAACTTGTGAAACTTTTTTTATGCTATAAGAGAAAAATCCTTAGCCTATGAGTAGAATATATCCATGTTATTTTTTACTACAAAGTATATCTTACTGCAAGAAAGCCTCTAGTTTGTTGGCTATACATTTTCTGTTTTAGCTTACATATTATTTTTGCAAATAGAAAGATTAAATATTAATAGTTATTAAAATGGGAAATTGCAAGGCCATTTTTAATTATTTATAGCACAGATTTATTTGTATTCCTGTTATAGAGATTTCATCCTGTTATACTGGATTTTGCGACTAAGTATCTTTCTGGGATTGTTGCCCACTCCCAGGAGCCCAGCTGAAGACCATGCATAATTTGAGATTGCTGAGAGCAGACATGCTGGATTTCTGTAAGCACAAAAGAAATCATAGAAGTGGTGTGAAACTCCATCGGCTCCAGACAGCTCTGTCACTTTACTCCACATCGCTCTGTGGCCTGGTTTTACTAGTAGATAATCGAATCAATTCATACAGTGGTATTAAAAGAGGTAAGTTAACATTATACATATTTATTTTATTAAATTTCTCTTTTACTACCACTCGTACAAAGAAAGGAATTAAATTATGGCAAAACTGAAAAAAAAAATTTGAGTTACCCCTGTATTCAAGTAAATGAAAAAATACACATGCCCAGCCATAGCTATTTTAGATTTGTTTCATACTTTGGCATGGGTAGAGTGCTTTAGGACATTTAATTTTTCTTAAAATTCTGTTATATTGTAAATAATACTCTTACAGTGTCCTTGTTTCAAGGTATAACAAAAAGAATAAATGTATAAGTGTATTTTTCAATTTAGAAACAGATCCTGGCTCGGTGAATTTTAATTCATCCATTTATCCTTTTATGTTTTTTTAAACAACCTATTTCTTAAATACACTAGGTAAAATTCTACCTTCCCTCATAATACAACTCACATTTATGATTATTTAAAATTTTTTACATATTTAAAATGTATAACTTTTTAAAAGAAGCATGAATAGAGTCTGTTTCTTATCATAAATATAAGAAACTTTTTGTATTTTTTAGCACTTTTTGGGACTGGGTGATTAAAGTACCTATTATTTAAAGAAGGCTTGGAATTATATTAAATTTTCCTTATCTGTTGTTTACTCTTTTGCGTGGTTGAAAGATTATTTCTGATCAGAACAAAATTGCTGTACCCTAACTTAGTAAGGCATAATTATTGAAAGGACAAATATAAGAAGTCATACATGTGAATTTTCTATTCTGTTTCACCAGATCTCCTTTATAAGTAAATATTAAATATTTGATCGTTTACCTTTAGAAGTTTGTCAATGTTTTGGATTCCTTAGATTTTGCCACAGTTTGCCAAGAATGCACTGACTTCCATTTTCCCCGAATTGAAGAGCAGCTGGAAGTTGTCCAGCAGGTGGTACTTTATGCTAGAACTCAGCGCAGGAGTAAGTTGAAAGAATCACATGGTCAGTAAAACTCAAATTCTTTAAAATTTCACTTTCAGTATGTTCTGTCCCTAAGCACTCTAATAGCATATGGGCCATCATTGAAATATAGAAAGTTGGGTTGGTGGAAGGGTGGAAGAAAGAAATTAACAAAATTCAAGATCTTTAGAAGCTCGGGTTCTGTTCTTAATTTCCTTTTATACATGATCTTGTTCAAGATCCTTAGCAAAAACTGTTTTTAAATTTCAATTTTGTAGTTATATTTAACATAAGCACTCAGTGGAAAGTAGGCGATCTTTTGACCTAAGTTTTATATCTCTAAAATGGACATGATTATTACTACACGAGGCATTGAAATTACAGAGTAAATAGTAGCACAGATACATACTTTTTATGTCTTTGATTTATTAAGTAACATGAAGTCAATTACAAGAAATGTTTTCAGTTGTTCTTTTAAAAAATTACTATGTCCAGAACTATGTCCTGTTTTTTCTATATATATCTATCCACAATATGGACATCCTTTCTAGCTATTTAGGAAATTTACTGGAAAGTGATTTTAAAGCTATAGAAAATGTTCATGGCTTTTTTCTTTAGAAGATTTCTATCTACGCATAAACAAACTTAAGGAAAGACATAGATAAAAGAAAAATCTCTGTCTTAAATTACAGATTATTTCTGCTATTTTTTAATTGAAAAATGAAAATTTTAAGTTTTTTTAAATTAAATTGGTACCATAAATTTGTTTAGTCGGATCAAAATATAGGGTAATATTTATTCAAAAATATGTGTAATATATGTTTTTCTTAGTATTCTGCCATTTCATGTTATGTCACAGGCATAAAATCATAATGCATGTTCTTATCTGGCTTGAATGCATACTCAGTATTTAATTATTTCATATAAAAACTTGACGTCTTGCCCAGGAAATAAAATATGGCAGGGTTTTAAGTTGTGGCTGGTCAGACCTTTAAATTTGCTTCTGGTAGTTCAGATTTCTTTTTCGTTTGTTTTGCAACTGCAGTGTTTAAAAGGAAGCATTATAGTACTTTTGGTTTATACTGTTAAACCTTGGCTTGGTGTCTTAGTTCCTCTGTCCCATGTAAATTGTATAACTCCTCCTTTTCTTCTGATGCTAGACTGTAGCTCTCTAGACTTAGCTTAATTAGCATTCACTATGGTTTCCTTCTTTATTATGTAGATTTTAAATAATATTTATTTTTTAATCATTTGTTAAATTGGTAAAACAATCTCGAGATTCACAATTCAAACTGTACAAAAGAACGTGCAGTGAAGGTCTTTGTAACCCTGCCCACCAGCCACCCAGGTTCCTACTCCTGAGGCAGCCAGTGCCATCTCATGTGTACCTTCCAGACATAGGTTTGTGTATATATGAGCACGTGTATCTGTGTCTTTATTTTCCCTTTTACACAAATGGCAGCTTTCTCTGCACACTTTTGTGTGCTCTGCTTTTTTCACTGAATAATTTATCTTGGACATCATTTCATATCAGTACATGAAGAGCATCCTCATACCTTTTTACTGCTGCATAGCCCACTGCAGGATAATCCATTATTAATCAGTTCCTTATTGATAGATATTTAATCTGTCCCAAAGGTTTTGCTATTATAAATAATAATGCATGAATCACCTTGCACATATATCATTGTGTGCATGACCACACCTATAGACTAGATTCCTAAAGAGAAATTTCTGGGTGTAGCACACTCACATTTATAATTTAACAGTGTAGCATTGCTCTATGTAGCAGTTCCACCAGTTTATATTCTCACTAGAGATGACTGTGGCTTTGCTGTGGCTGGATGTGTTATACTTGACAGAACCGGTCTGAGTTCTAGGAAATCAGGGAGGCATATCCCAACAAAGGACCATTCGAAAATCCCAGCATGTCCTCTTATTGGTCTGCCATCCTCTTCCTCCATCTCATTCAAACTAGCAATGATGTGATCGGTAACATTTTACTATTATTCTTAGTAGTGACTAAAGCATGAAGATTGAGATCATGACAGGTGTGGGAGGAGGATTCTAAGTATATTTATGAGCGATAGAAAGTGTGCAGTAAATGACAGGAAGTTTTTAAACCACATACGGTTAAGGCAATGTGTGTACATCATGGTATTATTTTGTTCTTGTTCAAGCAACTATTTTGTGGTTTAAGTGAGTCAGTGAAACAAGTATGTTTGTAAAAGACAACTTTCTTAAAGGAGCCAGCATGCTGTTACAGAGAGTTTTATGAAAATACTTTCTCCGTCCTTTCCTTTTCTGTGCATGCCTACTATCTGTTCTACAAGTTTATATCCTGATGCACAAAGTACCTGTTTATACTAAGACATTCCATTGTTTTCTTTACTGTGTTTATTATATTAGCATCTTTATATTCCTACAAAAACAATCTATTTTTGTGCACATTTTATATACATTTTTAAAAAATGAAAAATAGCCATTTTCTTATTATAAGGTATTACCATTAAACATGAAAAGGGAAATGGACTATGAACTGTTCTTTCTTGTTTACTTAATAGGGATTCTGTTTGTTAAAACCCCTGTGAACAAAATGAGAGTCCTTATTGTTTTTGTTTTCTGTACTATGATCATTTATTGAAAGCTTATCAATTAATGGCTCTGTGTGAGAATCTAACTATTACATTAAATATGGGTTTAATGTAATAATTAAAATCTGGCAACATAGAGCTCCTCTATGCCTCTCTCTCCCTCTGTTCCTTTACTTATAAAATGTGTGCATTTACAAGGTATAGTGTTATAAATTAGTTCATCAAAGTAGTCAATAGGTAAAAATATTAAATTACTTTTATTTAGAACATTCTAGAAGCTGTAATATTCCCTTGGTATCTGCAGTTTATTCATTTGAAGTTGTGACTCTATTCAAGTGATTTTCTAATGCTGGAGGCCATTCCAAAAAGTTTTGTATTCAACTGGAATAAATATGCAGCCTCTTAAAGAGGCTAATAATATTCATTTTGCATTTTTGAGTTCTGATAGAATTCTTATAAAATTCAGATGTATCTTCTATTAAAAATAGATGTATGCATGTAAAATAATTAGTGTTCAACCATAATAATGTGTGGTCAATTGTAAGTATCTTATTTTACCAACATTTATCCTTTTCAGTAATAGCATGTCTTCTAAAAAGAAAAAAGAGAAAGAAAAACTTGTACAGCTGAAACTAATTTTTAAAAATGTGTATTTCTCAATAAAAAAACAAAGGAAACCAAAAAAATAAATAAAAAAGAAAGAAAAACTATTGACTCTGAATTTTAAAATGCTCCATTTGAAACAGTCTCACATTATCTGTTTGAAATAAATTGTGTATAATGTCAGATAAGTAACAAATTTTAGGAATGGGCTGAATATCAAGTGATTCCTGGTGCTACTAACCATTTGTTTGTAGTCCTGAACGAGTTCTATCAACAACAGTGACTCACATTCTAAAAATAAAAATGGCTGCATGAAGTTATGTGTTGCTAACTTAGTGCCTTGAACCTCCCAGGTGAAAAATACGGTATTGACAAGTCTAATGTGGTTAAGACCATAGGATTTGGAATATGAGTATGTGGGTTAAAGACCTAGTTCCACCACTTACCTGTGCACCCTTGGTTAAGTTCATTAACCCATCTAAGCCCCTATTTCTTCATATATAAATGAAGTAGTAATAGACTTGCCTCGTAAAATTATGGTTATCGGTGTTTGGTAAGAATTAAATGAGACCATCCATGGAAAAGCATGCATCATGCATCAGAATGCCTGACACGTAGAGACCCTTAGTAAATTTTTACTGTTGTGATTGCTTGAGGAGTGATAATATAGTAATGTGTTTTCATATGTTGTTATGTTCTTTCATGTTGCATTATCTTATGAATAGATTCTGGAAACCAAAATGGAGAAAGTGATGATAAGACTAAAAATGCTGATAGAAACTATTTAAATATTTTACCTGGTAAGTATTATTTTAAATTGCAATTTTCTTATAATCATATACATTGAAATCATAGATTTTAAATCTAAGTTCTTATGGTGTACTTTATAAAAAGTTTGTCAGTGCATCTATATAATACACTTTCACAGATGTTCTGCAATTTAAATCTTATACTAGTACTGACTTTTTTCTAAATCCATATAAGAAAAATGGGTCAAGCAGTTGCATATATTTTGTTATTTGCTATTTCAGATTTTCTCTTTTATACATTGTTTCTTAGTTTCTTAAATTAACCAAAAAAAACCTTTTACTCTAAAATAGAAACAGTGGTACACAGAGATGTAAACAATTGAAGTGTAGAAAGAACATGAGTCATTTGACTTAGAACCTTTCTTATTTTCATTTCCCCATAAATTTTCCTGCTTTCCATTTCTTTAATTTCCTTTATTATTCTTGGGCACATTGTTTATAAACCAGAAATTCAGTCTCTTGATCCTCTTCTACATTGAATTCATTAATAGCATTTTATGACAGGGTATAGCAAGGAAGTCCTATTTGTTTATTTTATAAGTGTAAAGACTTTTAAACTAAATGGTAAATTTTGCCCTTTCATAAATAACCAAGGTTGTTTCCTCACATTTCCTTCCCCAGATTTTCTATGTGTAGATCACATTCCATTTAATCTAAGCAAATGGCATACCCATTTCTGGTATTCATCTTGTCAGTCCCAGTCAGCTTGTGGTCATCAGCTTCCAAATTTCCTTCCACCTTCAGATATCCTACCTTTGTGGATAATGTTAGAGGCAGGATTGCATCACCACAGGCCGTTTCCTTCCCTTTGTGGAACAGGAAACTGTCCTCCTCTCCATCTAAAAATACCTTCATTGAGACAAGATTTATTGTATTTCTCTTCATAGATCCATAATTTAAATCATCTATATTTTGTGGCTTTCTTAAAATGTGTCAATCTTGTTATCTATTTCAGAAGTACCGATGTCTGATTTTTTTAAACTTAACTCTTTATTGCTATATTTATTTCATTCCTTGTTCCATTTTGGGAAAAGTCTGTAGGGTTAGTATCTTATTATCATCACCAAATAAGGAAGATGTGTCATAAGTCTGCATTTGAAAAGGAATATTAAACTATTCAGTTAGACATGCTGGTAGCCTTTGAATTTCCATTTAGTTAAAAAAGGATGCCTACACAGCTAGGAAGTAAACAGGACAGGAAAAAAGATCCAAATCACACATTTTTAGAAATTTTTAAGTTGCCAAAAAAACCAATTTATATCATTATTAACCAATAGTTTTGCTTTGTTGTTATCTAAATAGAGTTTATATCAGCTAATTCTCACAACAGCTTTGTAATGAAAGCAGTCAGACATTCTTTTCCCATTTCATACACAAAGTACACAGAATCTATCAGTTGGATTGATTTATCCAAGATCACTCAGCCAGTATTAGAGACCAGATCTCCTTAACACCCAATCTAAGTCTTTTTTCTACTATATTATTGGGTTGTCGGAAAAGTCATAATGCATTTTTGCATCGCAAAATATAGAACAAATACGTGATGACTTTTCCGACAACCCAGTATTTTGATAACTACTGCCAGCTCCATGACGTCCATTCTACTAATGGGTAAAATGAGGCCAAGAGACAAGTCCTCTAAGGTCAAATCAGGCGGTGCCAGTTTGGGGATTAGGAGCACCCGACCCATTCACCAAGTCATCTGCCTCCCCACTGGACCATAGCCCATGTTTAATGCTATGGCCTCCATCACCTAAGTTATCAGTAGGAGTTTAGGAGCTAATACACTTTACTGGGCCCAAAGGACATTATCTCATTGCGTTCACCAGGTTTCCGACAAGCTGTCTGTGTCTCTTATTGCCTTCCAGGGAAATTGTAACTATACGATTTCTCATCAGACAATTTTCTTTGTCTAGCTTATGTTGATATTTTTGACACTATCCTTTGTTTAATTTCTTTTTCTGCATTTGTAGTTCTTTTATCTTAAGTTAGAAACAAAAGCCCTTTGCCTGGGGCCTGCCAGTGGCACCCATGAGTACCGCTTATGTATACTGGTAACTAGAAAGTGGTAAGCATTGTGCTAAGGTATATTAAGCACTTTTAACTATACTATATGTTTGTTAGTAAATATAAGTAAAATCCTAAGGTAATGACTTTGAAGAAAAGGTGAAAAAAATTTGTCAGGGTAGGGGTTAGTGATAGAAGAGTTTTTCTTAGAAGAGCAAAGCTTTCCTAGAAGGACTAACCAGAATTTCCAGGGAGCAATGTGTATTTATAAAAACATGTGCTTTATATGTTTTATATTTTATTATTTATGCTGACAGAAACTGCAGGATATAGAAGTGGATGAGTTTTTTGGCTCTGTTGGGGTCTTTTTGGCTAGTTGGCTACATAGAAAATGGAATGATTGTAGAAAGCGTGGATTTTAAGATTTGACAAATACTCCTCTAACATTCAGTCTAAAACATTTGTTCATTCATTCAACAAATATTTATTGACTACCTTCTATGTACTAGGTACTGCTTATGTGCTAGAGATAGAACATTAAACAAGATAGACAAAATTCCTATAGGTATGGCATGTAAACAGTCGTCTCTTTAAAATAATCTCATAAACAAATGAAAGAATTTCAGTGCTGAGAATAAAATAAAACAGAACAATGTGAAAGAGAATAAGTGAGGGGTGAGGGAGTCCTCTCCCAAAAGGGATAGTCAAGGAAGACCTTTGCTAATGAGGCATGATTGATGGAAAGAGGTTAGCCATACAAGAACCTTGGGGAAGCATTTCAGGAAGCAGCCCTGACTTAGAAACAAGCTCTGCATGTTTGAAGAACTGAGCAAAAGCCTGTGTACAGTCTGGCCAGGAGGAGAGAGGCTGGAATAGACAGACAGTGTGCAGATCACATAGGCCTCGTAGACCACAGTCAAGAGTTTGGACTTTTTCTAGAATGTAGTATGAGCCTATTAGAC